GTGGGAGAACTTGCACAATTGGTGGCTGACTAAATACTTTTTGCCCCACTGTACATAGATATATGTAGGTATATATGTGCTATATTGGGATAGGAGATAACAGATTTTTAGATGCTTTCCTTATTCATTTTCATAGTTAAGGTTTCTCAATATCATTCTTTAATATTTTTCTCCTAGGAAAGTATGTGTATCTGGGTAAAAGAGAAATGTGTTAGAGTGACACATTAGAATGGATATTTTTGTCATTCCCTGAGAACTGCTGCTAAGAAATATGCTGAAATCAGCTGCTGCTGCTGCTGCTGCTGCAATTGTTGTTATACTGTTGTACACTCTGTTCTTATTATTCCAGCAATCTTGGTGATTGAATTTGTCTATGCTATTGTGGGCATTGTTTGGTTAACCCAGTACTACAGTTCCTGCAATGATGTTACTGCCAAGAGTGTCACTTTGGGTATGTATTTGAAAGGTTCAGCCTGGAATCACTTATTCCCACTACAGTGTTTTGATATTTAACCTGTTCACAGGCATGAACAAGCATGACCTTTGAGGTCTTGCTGTTTCACTGTTGTAATTTAATTTAGCTTTGCTAAAAACTTCCGTATACATTTATTCATAGGCATAAACAGTAATAGTATGACTAGAAAGGAAATAATTCTTGATGACTAGGTGGGCTGTACTAAAAAGTGCTCTATGTACATTTATGCCATGATCCTGGGAAGGAGTTGGAGACGTAGACTGAACAAAGTGGTAATGCATATGTATCTATTTGGAGTAACTTTTATTATCCACAGTATTTTTGCTCATTGATGTTTGCTTGATATCCCTCATTAAATACATTTTATGATGCTATAGAATTTCCAAAAAGGTCAGAAGTGTTATACAAGAATTGTCTTCATTTTGTCAAAGAAGGTCAAACAGAGGGTGTTACTCAATTAAAAAAAAGGCATAAACACTAAGCAAACTGTGCAGATGAGTCATACCTGCCACTTACAGCCTGGGCCTTTGTATCTTTCTACTCTCTTTCACTAGGAATGGTCGTCTGCAACTGGGTGGTCATTTTGAGTGTCTGTATCACTGTCCTGTGCGTCTTTGACCCAACAGGACGGACCTTTGTTAAATTGCGAGCCACAAAGAGGAGACAGCGTAATCTGAGGACATATAACCTGAGGTAAGAAAATTATAAAACAGATTTTTATATTCATTGTATACCATGCATTTGTTTCTAAGTCACTGTGTTGTAATCTGGTCAGCTTATATGTAGAGGTTGGTCCAGGTTCTTTATAAAATAGATTCCAATTTAGGTAAAAGTGACCTCTTGTTTTCAACATAGATGAGTACAAACAAATATGACAGCAAATAGCACACAGTTTACATGTTGGGAAGCTTTTTTGAATTGTAAATAATACAGGCCTCATAATATTACCTAGTGGGACAATTTTGGTTTCCAGGTATATATATTTTTTAAAAAATATTTTGCAACATTTATATTCTGTTTTCCTCTGCAGCTAAAAGTCATATTTATTTTTTTTTCTCACAATTATACTGTCATGTACATTAGACTAAAAGGTAGTGATTTAGCTAACATCATCCAGATATAAATGGAATATATTATGTGATTCACCCCAAGGCACAAAAAAATGTGTATTTGGTTTGTCATAACTGAATGAGCCACAAGTATTAGACAGCAAAATGGTATTTTCAGCTGTGCAATTTTCTGTTCTTTAAAAGAAGTTAAAATAAGTATGCTAAGCTTTTATTTATAATAGTTAATTCGATCTAACCAGTGTGATAATTGCTCACAAAGGTACAGGTTTTCTTACCAAACACACAATATAACATTTTCCATCATTGTGTTCATATATTTTTCATTCACAGTCCATGAAGAATCATACTTCTGCAATGTTGCCTAGGTTGCGTTGGAGGTTTCAACTGAGCTGGAGCCCTTATTAGAGAATATGATTCTGAACCTAAGCAGAGTGCTGAAAAATACTGAGTAATTAAGTAGCAGAACCTCCCATTTAAAAAATGCCTGTAATGTAGTAGTCTTAGATGTAGAATAAGGGCTTAGTCCACCTGTTAGTAAATGCTAATAGACACTGATTGTATTTGAAGAGCTAGACATTTTGAGCAATCCATGAAGACAGAAAAGCCTCATTTCTATCCAAACTACAACTTGAAGAGAGGAACGTATAAAAGAGAGAAAGTTTCCTTTATCTCTTAAACATAGAGACTCAATTAACCAACAGTGAGCCAGGTGAGAAACAGACATGAGGACAGCATGTGAAGACCCTCCTCTCATCTGGATAATGCCTAACAGCATCTTTGTAGAGCTACTTACGTATCTCTGTAACATAACTATATCCCAGCAGGTGGCAGCACCTAGCCTACCTATTTGAAAAAGCTAAGCAGAGTTGGCTTGGATACTATTTGAATGGAAGACCACTGGGAAATCCCAGGGCTGTAAATTAGACTAGAAAGTCAAAAAAGCCTTGGAAGAAGACAATGGGAAACTACTTCTGTTTTGTTGCAAAAAAGATCATCATGTTCATTACCTGGAGTTGAGCTGTACTTGAGGGAGACATTACTTTTACCTTATAAAGTAACTGTAGATTGTAATAAAGAGTTCTGAATCTGCCACTGTTCAGAAAATTGTGTGGAAGCTTTAAGACAGATGAGCTTCAGAAACTGTTCACAGTTTCATTCCGTATTATTCCAGTTTCCATGTATTCTTGATGTTAATGCGGCTTCTGGGTCTTTGCTAGTTTCTACTGTCTTTTCAATCAGATGGTGTGCATTTGACTATTTGTAAATTTTCTTTCTTTTTTTCCTTAAGGCATCGCTTGGAAGAAGGGCAGGCTAGCAGCTGGACCCGCCGTCTCAAAGTTTTCCTCTGCTGCACACGAACAAAAGATTCGCAATCAGTAAGCAGCAACTATCTTTTCATCAAAGAGCAAATATAATTGAGGACTTTGTTAGTATTATAATATGAGAATTATCAAGATCAATGGCAAATCTGAAATTCTTGTATACAATATGATGAGCCAGTTCTTCTGTAGATAGTAAAGCCATAAATTTTCTAATTTCATGCTTAGGAGATTGGGAGCAGTTCCTAGTATCTCTTCAGCAAGTTCATGTGGCAGATGAGAGGAAATATGGTACAAGTATCCTGTTGGGATGTCCCACACATGCATGTTGACCCAGTTGTGCTCTGTTATAAGGAAAGAAAAGCCTTTCATAGTTGGTACAAATAAAACTCTATAGCTAAGCTGTTCATGCTTGCTTAGTTGTGAAAAAGGAAGTCATTTTTAATGTAAGAAAATTACTAAAGCTTGCAATAGGGCCTAAAACGATTGAGTTGGCTAATTTTAAAATGCATAGTAATCTTTCATTATCTTTCATTATAAGAAAATGTGATTAAAATGGAGTAACCAATTACTTAGATTATTTTCAGTCATGAAACTTTTGAAAGGAATTCCACATTTCACAACATTAGGCAAAAGTAAAGGTATTAACAGCATTACTCAGAACCATCTAATCTTAGCCCATTCGGGGCTGTCAGGCATCATATTTAATATGTGGTATTTGATACATGATATTGAATTGTACAGGTTTGTTCACCTGTAATGTGTTTGCTGAAGAAGACATAGGTGCAAATACTGTTTTGTAAATGTGAAGCTATCTGATATACCACAAAAATCTTTTCTGTCTGAATTCCAGGGGCTAGAGACACGAGAGATGTTTATCTCTATTATACCTTGCCTGTGAGCTTTCCAAGGGTTAGGGTTAGGGTCATTAGATTAGTTATTGTTGGAGGGAGAATCCTAGCCTAGATTTTTTTGGGGGGGGGCGGGAAGTGTGATACAGTAGATAATGTGTTGGATAGGAAGTGAGAGGCCTAATTCAAATACCTGCTCCATTATTTTGCTTAATGACAGCCCTTCAAAAAGTCATGTCACTGGCCTGATTTACATACATAACATTAGGACAGAATTTTAAATGGTTTGTTGAGCAAGCCACAATGGCATGATTCACACATAGCATTTTCATAATAAAAGGGTTGTAACATCATGCTAAGCCAAAACTAAGCAAATCACATTATATATTTTATCTATCTGGCTATAATATTTCATATTAGTTCACTTATTGGCTTGCCTTTGCCACATTATCTATGGAGTCAGCCACTGTTTCTCTGACTTCTTTACCACACAGTGTAAGGAAAATTGAAATAACCTTATGTATTTTACTTCGAACTTCTTAGCGAAAAAGTTTAATGCAAAAAGGAATCTATACATTCAGCAAAGTGCTATTTCCAGATAGAATCAGAAACTGGTAATCCAAAAATGGTTGTATTTATACATAATACCAAAGCAGGATTACTGTTTATTCAATAAGCATAGTGGCCAGATTCACACATAAACTAAGTTATAAAGGATTGATTCACATACCATATTAAATAAAAAACAAGCAAACTGCTTTGTGGCTTAGTATGATGCCTTAAGCAATCCAACAAGCTAAACCCTATTTATAGCTCTTGTCTCTTGCTTGTGGCAGATTAATTTTTCACCTTTTCCTCTTTTGGGTTTTTCAGGATGCTTACTCTGAAATTGCATATCTCTTTGCTGAATTTTTCCGAGATCTTGACATAGTCCCATCTGATATCATAGCAGGCCTCGTTCTACTACGTCAACGACAGAGGGCAAAACGCAGTGCAGTATTGGATGAAGTGAGTATGAGGAATTCTCTTAGTGCACTTTAACAGTAAAAAGTGCACAAAGTGTGCTAACATTACTTAAAATCACCTACTGTGATACAGTTCAGTTTCAGTTTTGAAAACTACCTAATCCTTCATCCTAATTCACTTCCCAGCTATGTACAGTTTCACTGGTTTTTACTGACAAGACTGAATTCATAAATATTTGGGTACTGAAATGGGGAAAATCATGTTTTTTAGAAAAGCATACACAAGTCTTTTAAATGTCATGTTTTAGTTATGAGAGGTAATGCACCATAAAGCACCAATTCCCTCTGATCTGTTTTTCTGTTTTGATAGTTAAATTTGTTATGAGTACTAAATTCCAGGAAATTCATTGAGCAAATTTCAAGGAACAATTGAGCAGTGGCAAATATTGTAGTTTGGATAATGAAAAGATTGTGATTAGTATGAGATAGAGCTGCAAATATGCTATTAAGTATTCTCTTCCTCTTTCTATGTCTAGCCATCCACAAGATGGAACATAGCTTAATGCTGGCTAAGCATCTCAATTCTGCAATATAGGTCACAACCAAAGCTGTGTAAAAGTAGTGTGAATATGACAAAAGAGGCAAAATAGCAGTTAGTATAGGAAAATTCAGTGACAATTAGTGGTCATGAGTTACATAATGATATTAGTTAGTTTCAGCAAAACGAAGGAATCTTTTAACAGTTTCAAAACTGATAATCATTTTAATTAAATCTAAACTTTTGTGGATTTGAGTCCACTTTATCAGATTATCTCACATGTATTCTAGTCTACAAAACCAAGCCATAAATGTATTGTCTATAAGATGTTACAAAACTGACAGTCAGTTTTACAAATTTCTAGGCTTCAAACTGAGTAAAAAGAGTACTTAACCTGCAACATTCAGAGAAGATAGAAAAACAAAGAAAAACTGACAGCATATACTGAGATTAATGTAGTTTCCAACTGCATTAATTCAAACAAAGAGGTGTTTACTTTCCTTAAGTACAAACTGAATGTTTTAATGACATTTTTTTCTAATCTATATTATTTATAGGCAAACAATGATATTCTAGCTTTCTTGTCCGGAATGCCAGTTACCAGGAACACAAAATATTTGGACCTGAAAAACTCAGTAAGTTATCAGACCACTTATTACAGAAAATATGCAAACTCAGTGGATCAAAGAATCAGTCTGTTTTTCCCTTGATAAATTTGGGTGCTGATCTTAGAAGTCAGAGATCTATTAGATCATAACAACACCCATGCAATCAACTTACCAAGGCAAATAGCAGATGCTGTTTGACAAATAAATTATTGTCAAAGTGTAGCTATATCAAATTTCTTTTATGTATCAACGAGTTATTGCTGTACCCTAACTGTGTCTTGAAAATTCCTTCAAGTATTGGCCAGCTCTTTAAAAGAGGAACTGGCAGCATAAATTGCCCAGTATTTAAATTTCCATCATAATAATATGACGTAGGGACTGTATAGGTCTTGAAAGATTGAAATCTTCTACTGTGGAATAAATACTCAGGACTTACACAGAAGTCTGCTTTCCTGTTGCCTTCAGGTCTCTGGTATGGTTCCTATGATTGATGTAGGTCAGTTGTTCTCAAACATTTTGGTCTCAGGAGCCTTTTACATTCTTAAAAATGATTGAGGGCCCCAAAGAGCTTTGGTCTATGTGGGTTATATTTATCAATGTTTACTGTATTAGAAATTAAAACTGAGAAATTTTAAAATATTTATTTATTTGATGTTGTGGATTCCCTGAAGGGGTTTCAGGGCCCCTGAGGGGTCCCTGGGCCACAGTTTGAGAACCGCTGGTATAGGTAAATCATTTCTGTTGGCAGTTATCTATATAAATGATTGAAACCAGTTCTCTGTAGCACTGACTATGTTTATACCTGAGTATTAAAATCATCTGAGATTTTCTAGGGCTTTTGTGGGTCTTATACTTTTAAATAAATAGTAATTTTGAATTAAAGTTGTAAACCTCAAATGTAAACATTTTTATTGTTTTGGTATTCAGAAAGGAAAGATAGAAAAATGAAGAAAATGAATAAAAAAGACAATACATATTTAAAAAACAGCTCAGTTTTTAAACATTTCATTAACCTTTACCACTCAAAATAATAATGGTGTCTCTTTCCATTACATCAGTACAGAGCAATACAGAGTTTATGAGCAGTGAGCAAACACACATCATCAAAAGAACACTATGTACACTCTACACTTAATAAATCGGTAGTTCTTCATATATTGATAAATTCAAAAATTTTGGTGTGTAATTCCAAATCAGATTTGCATGTGTAAACTATATAGCACTCTTCTCAAAACCATATCAACAAACAAACCCAAAGGGGACAAATGTGGCATGAGTACATATCATCTGCATAAGTGTCCCTTCCATTGTTTTACACTTCTAGCATAACGAAGTTGGCAGCCAACCCTTTTTAAAAAGTTTAGGAAGTATCCAATAAATATGGGAAAAAACTTTCATTGAATTAGTCTCATCTTAAGATCATGAAATCTTAATATTCTTTAAGACACTTAATCATTCATTTGTTAAAACAGGGTATTCCAACTGTTGATTCCAATTCTTACAAATTCTCTATGTCTCTAAAAATGCTGTACATTTGGAATTATGCATGAGTTCATGTAATAATGTTTTAGTAGTAGGGGAAGGATCTTTGTCCAATCTAGTTTTGACTGCTCTCCACTTTGTCTGCTATTACTGTTTAGGTTTCATTTCCACTTTTAAATTGGCTTCATTTTGTCAAAATGCAGGAACTTTGTTTAGTTGTTCAAACAAGCCAGAATAAAATTAGGGGTTATAATCTTGGCTTGTTAGTAGACCACAGGTTACAAATCAGTTTTCTTAGTTCAGGTATACAGTAACAAGGATCTCTGGCAGGTTTAAAAATGGAAGTCACAATTTCTCATCCTCTCAGCTGCTATCCCAGAGAAGGGTGCTAATCTCAGGCTTGTACCATCAAGCAGTAGAATTGTGCTGTGTGTGGAGGTGGCTATTTGAGGCTTAATTAAAAGGTCAAACAGGCTGTGAAGACCTAATCAGAAAATATAATCTCTTGATAACTAAGTGAGAGGAGAACACTTCCAATTATGTCATCATGCCATTACATTTCTTTGATTCCCTTCAGCAAGAGATGCTGCGATATAAAGAGGTGTGCTATTATATGCTCTTTGCTTTGGCTGCTTATGGCTGGCCCATGTACTTGATGAGGAAGCCTACCTGTGGACTCTGTCGCTTGGCCAGATCCTGCTCGTAAGTATTGAGCCAGACTGTTTTTAACGTCTTTCACTTTATTGTTTCATCATTTATTTTTTTCTTCCCCTCTCTCCTCATGCATTCCTCCTTTATTGACTCTTGTTTTTCTTGAATCTACGATATATATATGTGTGTGTCCAGGGAGGGATAGCACCTCTGGTGGAGGGGCCTGCCGTGCCCTTTTTAGGGCTACTCATTCACCTTTGGTCCCCACCTGGTGCTCAGCTCTCACCTGTGGCTACAAGTAGCTATAACACATGCAGCAGCCACACCCTGGTAGACCATCTTGGCAGATGGGCCAAACCAGGTGAGGGTAGCCGACGGGTCTCTGACTCTTGGTGAGATAGGGGATTTATCTATCTCAGCGTGTGAATCTGGCCCTAGCAGATTTAGTGGAGGAGACTGATCAATGGTCCAACAGTGAAGAAGACAGGCCCAGCAGGCACTGTGTAGCACTAAGAGCATGACAAGATATTTAGACGTCCTGATCATCCATTGTAACAGGAGAGATCTCCAGCCATAATGGTTTTCTATGCCACTGGATTAAGGTCTCTTATGCTGAGAGAGTGGGACTGCCCCTGTGCAATGGCTGTTCCATTTAAAACTCCATCATGCTCAGGTTTCTGTTGTGCAGTTCATCTTTATCTACAGCTCATCTGCAAATCATCTCAGTCCAAACCTAATTCGCTGAGCCCTGTGGTGATGGTGGAGTGGCAAAGCAACAGGTGGAGATGACCGCTGGCAGTTGTAGTCACAAACCTGCACATGGGCAGCCCTAGTGGTCATTCATCCCAGTATCAAGGCAGCAGAGATGTCCAGCAGCATCCAGGGCAACTGGGCTGCCCTTCTAGGATAGCACTGCCCACCCTCGCATGAGGGAAGGAGTTAAAAAAGGTACTGTAAGCATTTCCTGCCTGACAACATCTGGAAGCTAACTGTGGCTGGCAGATCATCTCCTTAATGGTCAAGCATCAAGAAAAACAAATCAAAGAAAACTCATTTTTGGAGCCTGGAATGTCTGCATCTTGCTGGATAGAGACAAGGTGTCAAGGCCTGAAGGACGAACAGCTCTCATGGCAACTGAACTTCATTGTAATAGCACTGACGTTGCTGTACTCAGTGAGACCAGGTTGGCAGATGAGGGTTCATTACAGGAAGCAGCAAGTGGATATATGTTCTTTTGGAAAGGGAAACCACAGACTGACAACAGGACTTATGGAGTAGGTTTTGCAATCAAAACTGCTCTGCTAAAGAACATCGCTACTCTACCCACTGGAATAAATGAATGCATTATGAAGTTCCGCTTTCCTCTCAGCACATCCCTGCATATTACCATTGTCAGTGCCTATGCACCAACTCTCATGAGTCCAGATGAAGACAAGGTTTGTACGAGGACCTGGACAAGATTGTTCAAACAACCTCCACCAGTGACAAGCTCGTCATTCTGGGCGACTTCAACGCTAGGGTGGGGATAGCAGCAATAACTGGGACAGAGTCCTTGGGAGACATGAAGTGGGAAAGCTAAATAGCAATGGCCTGCTGCTTCTGAGCAAATGCACCAAGCACAACCTGTGTATCACTAACACAATGTTTAGACTTGCAGACAAGTACAAAACTATCTGGATGCATCGCAGGTCCAAACACTGGCACCTACTTGACTATGTCAGAGTACATCAGTGTGACCTTAAAGACATCACCATTACCTGAGCCCTGCGAGATGCTGAGTGCTGGACAGATCACAGGCTGGTCCAGTCAGTCCTCAACCTGCACATAGTCCCTTTATATCATAAGCAACTAAGAACTGTCAGAAAGTCATCCAACATTGGCAGACTGCAAGACCCAGGCTAAATCCAACATTTCCAAGATGTACTTAATGAAAAACTCTCCAGCAATTCACCACTTGTAGGAACCTGTTCTGAAAAGTGGATGCAATTTAAAGATGTCATCACGCAGACTGCAACAACTGTACTCAGACTGAAAACCTGGGCATATCAGTGCTGATTTGATGAAAATCATAAGACCATACCATTTCAGCAGCCCCCCAGGCCAAGAACAAGGCCTATGCAGACTGGCAGAATGATCCATCATCTGTCACAAAGAAAGACAAGTTTAAGCACCTGCAGTCCAAAGTACAAACAGAACTGAGAGAAATGCAGGATGAGTGGTGGCAGAGAAAGGCTGAGCAGGTGGAACACTATGCAGACATGCATGCCACCAGAGAGTTCTTCAGCACCACAAAGTCAGTTTATGGTCCTTCTAAATCAGGATGCTTCCTCCTGCTATCATCTGATGGGTTGAGCCTGATCAAAGACCAGGAAGGACTGAAAAACCTCTAGGCTGAACACTTTTCCAACCTACTCAATAGGCTG